AATCAAGTTTTTACAAATTTTTATATATCAAAATTCTCTTGTATATATCAACTTTAATATGAATTTTTGTTAATATCTCTATCAACATAATTTTGAACAGGTTCAAATAGGTTGATATTAACGAGAGTCACCTGTATTAAAATCAATCTTTTTATAAAGATATAGAAAAATAAAATACTAATCTTTACTTTTTTTATTTCTCAGATATTTTTGAATTCATTTTATCTAAAAAAATACCTGAAGTAATAATGTTTATTCAATATCAATTTTAATTTTTCTGGGCTAGTAAAAATTCTTTTAGCCGGTTTGATAAAAGAAGTGTTAGAATCAATCTTATATAATTAATTAAAATAAAATACCAACATTTACATTTTTTATTTTCCAGATATTTTTGAATTTATTCTAATCAATCCAAGAAAATACCTGGAGTAATAGTGTCTATTCAACACCAATTCCAATTTTTCTAGACTAGTAAAATTCTTTAGCTAGTTGATAAGAGAAGTGTTAGAATCAATCTTCTTGTAAAGATATAGACAATTAATTAAAAAAAATACTAATCTTTGCTTTTTTCATTCCTAAATATTTCTGAATTTATTTCAATCAATCTATTCTGGGCTGGTAGAAATTCTTTTATCCAGTTTGATAAAAAAAGTGTTAGAATTAATCTTCTTATAAAGACATAAGAAAATAAAATTCTAATTTTCACTTTTTTTATTTCCCAGTTATTTTTGAATTTATTCCATTCAAGAAAATACTCAGAGTAATAGTGTTTATTTAATATCAATTTTAATTCTTCTAGGCTAGTAAAAATTCTCTTAGCTGGTTTGATAAAAAAACTATTAGAATCAATTTTATACAATTAATCAAAATAAAATTCCAACCTTTGCTTTTTTATTTCCTGAATATTTCTGAATTTATTCTAATCAATTCAAGAAAATGCCCAGATTTATTTAACACTAATTTCAATTTTTCAGGTCAGTTGATAAAAGAAGTATTAGAATGAATCCATTTTTCAAATATTTCTGAATTCATTCAAATCAATTCAAGAAAATATCTAGAGTAAATAGTTTTATTCAACACCAATTCCAATTTTTCCGGGCTAGTAAAAATTCTTTTAGCTAGTTGATAAAAGAAGTATTAGAATAAATCTTCTTGTAAAGCTATAGACAATAAATCAAAATAAAATACTAATATTTACTTTTTTTATTTCTGAATATTTTTGAATTTATTCCAATCAATCTATTTCAGGCTAGTAAAATTCTTTAGCCAGTTGATAAAAGAAGTATTAGAATCAATCTTCTTATACAATTAATAAAATAAAATACCAATTTTCACTTTTTTTATTTCTAAAATTATCTAATTTAGGCTTTTTAGTTTCTAGAGCACAACTTGTATGCTATTTAAAAAAACTTGAATATCACTATAAAAAAGACAAGTAATAAAACTATCTTCATAAGTCTTTTTAAAATATTTCATTCAGGGCATGTTATCTTCATTGGCAATTTATTTTTTTTTTCAGTATTAAGGTGACCTCTTTGGTCATAACTTTTTATTAGAAGTTAAGTTTCAGTTACAATGAGGATACAACTAGCCACACATACAACTTTTGGTTATCTAATTTAAGTAGTCCGCCCGGGGTTCTACACTAGCCACCATACCTGTAACCTAACTAGGAGATTATCTATTTAAACTCTTTGGTTATTAACAAGGGTACGACTAGCTACTTGTACAACTTTTGATTGTCTAATTTAAGTAGTCCACCCTAGGTTCCACACTAGCTATCATACCTGCAACTTAACTAGGAAGTTACCTATTTAAACCCTCTGATTCTAACCTAATTCCACCAAGTAGGGTCTTCTAACTCAGTTGCCTGAATTTTGTTTATGATTTTGTATTTTAGATAAATATAGTATATAATAAAGTATATATCTTTTTTTTTAGATGAAATCTGGGCTGTGAAACAAAAAAGATTTATTATACCATTTATTCGTCTTCATCTTGAGTATCGTTATCATTTTGAGCATTATCTTCACTTTGAGTATCATCCTCATTTTAAGTATTTTTTTGTTTCTTTTTTCATTGCTTTAAAGCCGCTATGGAATCCTTAACCAAATTTTTAATTCCTCTTCCCTTTGATTTTTTTTTTTTTAGTCAAGTAAACTTCTTCCGCAAGAAGGTTTTGTATATATTCTATTCCATGTTGATAACAAGTTTCCATATTGAAGAATCCTTTCATAGTATTTTGGGTTGTATAATTAAAAAGAGAATGACTGTTGAGATCTGGATTTTGAAATGCGTTATATATCTGTTCACTTAAAGCCTATATTTGATTTGGTACAACACGATCATCAATATCTATTACTTGGTCAACAAATTCATCAAGAACTGATAGTCGTTTAATTTCATCTTGGCTTCCTTGTATTTGTCAATGTAAGTTTTTCTCATCTCCAGATTTTTTTGTCATTACCTCTTTAACAGATTTAACACCATATATCTCTAAAGCTTCATCATATGCTAGATAATGCCCTTCACGTGTAATATTAATAGATGATACTTAATATAGTCATTTTTGAAGTTGTGTGTTTTTATGTAATTTTTCTAAAAAAATAGTGACCGATTCTGCATATCTAAATTTGCCAGTAACCGGAAAAAGTGGTGCAAATGCAGTGAGACATGCAATTTGCAAATTGAAATTTCCTCTTCGAATTCCAATTTTGTGTGCTTTCCAATAACCTGCCTACTGATAATAATTTAACCAAACTTTCAAAATATTATTAGACCCATTTTTAATATCATCAATAGTTTTATTTGTATCTTGTAGATGACGGTGAATTGCAATTCTGACTGCTGCCCAGATTAGCTCAAAAACTGTACATATTGCATAATAATCTGAATCTTTTTCTAAATTCTCTAAATATTGAACACCAAGCTACAATGCTATATTAAAAATTCTATAACCAGAAAAGACTGCAAGTAAGGCTTGGCACATGTCTTTTGAAGTGTGCCTCTGTCCAAGAATAATATTAGCGATAAGATCTTTATTTTTATAATTTTTAAGTCTTCGAAAAATAGCTTCATCACATGCAATATCGATTATATTAACTCCTATATTTGCTATATTATTTAAAAACATATTGCATATCTCATATGCATTTTTATTGGAATTTGATGCTGGACCGGGTTTTAGAATTACTATCTTTGGTTTATCAAATTTGCATCTTATTTCAACGGTTTCAATAACCTTTTGATGAATATCACTAATATCAAGTTTATTTTTCTTTTCCAAAAGCAGTTTTTCAAAAATTTGATCATAATTTTTATTTAGATTATCTGTAACTATTGATAACCCAATCATAACTTGGCTCGATTGTTCAGAAAAAAAGACTGAAGGATTATCAGGCAAATTTGAAGGAAGTTTAAACTGGAATGTAATTTGTAGAGTAGCATATGCAGTTTGCTATGTAGTATCATAAATATTTCCGTATATGAATGTTTTTTCTTTTATATCAATATTATCAATAACTGATAAATTATAGATATTACTTGTAGTTTCAAGTCTGTTAGCAGAATTAGCACTTTCCATGCGGCATCTTTCTGTACGAACTTCATGATCCCAAACATAAGAAATTATATGTACAGAATAAAGAATTTTATGAAGCTTTGAAATCATATTTAGATGTCTACAAAGTAAGCCCAAGACATGAGATAACCAAATTTTCCAATGACAAAAAGAAATTCTCATCACAATTGATACTAAAAATATTGTGATTCTTTTAATTGATGTTAAATTTAATATAATTGATAGTGATCCACGTGATTTTCTTTTTCTTTTAGCAATTTCATGTTTTTTTACAAAAAGAACTATAATAAAACTATTAAAAAAAAACTACAGAGTTTGAGGCAATACTGAAGCATATTATACAATGATTGAGGATTTTCTAATATTGGCAAATTATCTTTAAGCGAGATGCGTGATTGCTATAAAGATTCTCCAAGAAGATTTCTGAAATATGTACACTCATTTTCTTTTAAAGATGCTGCTTTTGCTTTAATGCTTAAATCTATTTTTGCTAATCTAAATGCTATTCAAGTAATTAGTAGAGTCAGTATAACAAATCGTTCAGAAGGATCTGGATTTATTGGTTTATAAAGCAATTCTCGTGGCAAATAAGGCTTTAACGACTCAACTGCTGGCAACAATAACTAGATAAGCTGTTGTTTTTGTATTATATTATCTGATTTTGCTACTAACTGAATCCAATTTTCAAATGTTTCTAAAACTCTAGTTAAGTTATCATGTTTCTCATTACAGTCCGTTTCTCTAGTTCCTTTACCATATCTTCTATGTAAATAATCACCATTTGCCTCATAATATTCTAAACAAATATATAAGAGTCATGTATTATTTGTTGACAAAACAGAAACTGAGTAACAGGTTTGTAATACTTCACATGATCGTAGTCCTAGATATGGAACTCTAATATTACGTCCACATATTATCCATGAATGCTTGAAACAACCCTTACCATGTATAAAGAAGCATTTATATTTATTACAAAATAAGCATCTCACATAATGAAGAATTCTACGGTCTGTTCCTAGCGTTTGAATTTTTTTTAAATTTAGCTGATTTTGATTATAAAGAAAATGCCTATAACAGATACCAAGCTCATTTAATTTTTCATTATATTGCTTAGCAGTATTACGATCAATTTCTCAAGTACTTTTAAGTTGTGCAAGAGGTTGGTTAGCATCAATTCCGTTGTATCGTTGTATTTTGTAATTATCATTGTCATTATTTATAATGACACAAGGTGTGTATTTATTATCTTTATTTTCAGGAATATTTGGTATAATTTTATCAAATCCTTCATCTAACTCATTATATAATATAATTTCTTCTATTTCACTATTAAGGTCATAGTCTTCATTATCATCGCCATCTAGTTGTAATATTTTATCCTTAATATTTTGATATGTATCATTATTGAAGTTTAGAATAGAAAAGTTTTCAATTTCATCTACAGATTCACTATCAGAATCATTATAATCAATGTTTTCCATCATTGTAACTGCAAAGTTTTATGAATTTAAATAATTGTATTTTTTATTTAAAAAAATTTAATTACAATAAAAAATTTTAACATGCGAGAAAAGACTTATTTATATTTATTGCTTAATTATTTATTGATAGAAAATATATTTTTTGCCTTAAATATCTAATAATATCGTATGCACAAATTGTTTAATATAAACCCCAAATTTTTAATAAGAAAAGTGCAATAAAAAGCTTTTGATATATCTAAAAAAACTTCCTATTTACACGTTTTCAGAAAAAGTTTATTACATAAATATGCTTATCATTTAGAAAATTCTCTTTTTCAGCATATCATTTCTAACCTGTAAATAATTTACCATACCTTCTTTCCTACTATTGGTGCATCTATTAAATATTAGAAAATCTATTTTTATTACAAGTTGATAAAACACAATTCATCTCAACACACTATTCTAGTAGGGCGAAAAGGGGAGTTCTGGGACAATTTTTTCACACCTCTATATGAATGTTGCTTAAAAATCATTTTAATCGTCATCCTGCTATATTTTATTGCACTTTTATATATATAGCTTGGTGAAAAATTTTATATAGCTAGAAGATGATAAAAATTTGATCACATCGTCATTCATATATTTAGAGTAATGATAAAAAATTGATCGCATCGTCAACTAACCCAATCATATTAATTTTTATAAAGAAGAAGCTCTTGAGCCTTTTCCTGAAGTCTATTAATATACTGAGTTATATAATATCCATTAGTATGCTTTCTACAAAGGCCAGGTTTAGAGCTAGTCAGTTTACTACAAACTTTGCAAGGAAAATGCTTTCTAGCCTTCCAATGTTCATGGTATCCTTCAGGCCGACAACAAGTATGTCCACAAATAACTCCAGTTCTGAGTAAATAATCACAAGTATATTCACCTATTATGGTATATAAATATAAATAATTTTAATTTAAACAAAAGATCTGGTATATTAATACAAATAACAGAATACCAGCACCTATATACAATGAATACACGAATTCAAATAATTGATGAAACAAAGCCCACTTACCAAGAAGTCGAGCAGGCTTTAATTAATGTAATCAAAGCAGGTCTCTATTATAGAAAGCCAAAAGATGGCAAGTTCATGCAGAACTATAAAGAAAGAATTAAGAAACTGCGTCAGGCAGAAGACCCAGAAAAGTATGTATTAAATACAGCAATGACAATATTACCTAATGAAGACAAATATAATAAAATTACAAATGATTATAAAGAATTTTATGGTCGGGATCCAAAGATTCTTGATTCTATTATTGAATTATATAAGTTATATTACAAATTGGCTAAAGATTATTTCGTTAAAGAAGCCCAAATCGATAAAGAAGCAGAAGATTTTCTTAATTTATAAAAGACCAGGAACACCAACTTGAAATATTCCACGAATGTCTCTTATTGTGAGTCTTTGATTCTCTTTTGGGTCTAACTTGTAAGCACCCACTGAGGAGGTAATTCTGTATTAGGATGAATAATTTGAAGTTCTTCTCTAACAAAAGACTACTTTGGTCTATTACCCTCTTTATCTTCAAGCCAATATAAGATAGGTTGATTTTTTTATATCAAAGCATTACGAATATAATAAACTTGTAGAGACCAATTCATATCAGTCGCTCTCATTTGTCCACCTTCTAACTCACCAGATTCAAGCAAATATCTTACTGATGTATTATATGATAGCTTAGACTTATTAAAGCCTATAAGCCCATTTCGTAATTTGGAAAATATAGCAATAACTTGCTTCATTTTTATAACTTTAGCAGGGGTTATACCAATTAGTTTAGTTACTGAATTATTAAGATCATTGACAATAATAGAAAGATTTTTAACCCAAGCTCTAGATCTTTTGGAGATAGGCAACAATAAATCTGAAGCATCCTGTAATCGAAACAATCTTTCAGCTAAAGTACGATTAAATCTTTCAACAATAGCCTGGCTTCTCTTAGAAGTGCCAATCTTAATTTTGACATTATGTTTTTCTATTAATTCTTTACAGTCTGATTTAAATTCAGAACCAGGATCGATCATTAATAATTTAGGCCAAGTAAGAGGGCAGTTGGAATTACTATAAACTTTCTTAAAGGCTTTAGCAACACTACTAGATGTCTTATCTGTTA